CACAGCCTTCTGCAGCCGCCTTGCCCTCGAGGGTTGCACTGTCCCTCTCGGCCTCCATCTCCACCAGCTGGCGACTCAGGGCACTGGTCTGGGCCCGAAACTCATCCTGCAGTCCCCAGGTCAGGGGAAGGGGAAGACCCTGCTGACAACCTGCAGCCCCTCACAGGTCTCAGCCACCCGTTCCCTACCCGGCCGCTCACACCAGCCTCACCCGTTCTCTCTGGGTGCTCCGCAGCTCCTGCAGGAAATCCCGGAGGGCCCCACGCACGGCCTCTGGGTCCAGGTCTGGAGACGTCGGGGAGGTAGCAGGTCCTGGGGACGGTGGCTCAGATCCAGGGCTACGTTCCAAGGGGCTGGGGCTGCTGGGCCCGTCCCCACTTCCTGGAGGAGGAGACCTGCTCAGGGATGCAGGAGCCATGGCCTCTCCTGCCGGGATGGTGCCTGCAGGCTCTCGACACATCTCCCCCAACCCTGCTATGCCCAGCAGCCCACGTGAGCCCGTAGCACAAACCGGGTCCCCTCACCCTCGTGTCACCCTTCACCAGCCCTCAGTTCAGCCCAACCTCCATGCCATCACTTAGAGGCCCTGCTGCTCACCCCCAGAATGAGCCTCTCACCCTTTACAAGCTGGCCACTCCCCATCACCCTCAGCTCCATGTTCCAGAATATTCCCTCTTCCAGCACTAGGGCCTTCGTACATGCTGTTCCCTTCTCTCCCCGCGACTGTGTTGGGGTGAATTGATCCCACCCTCGTGGGGCTCCAATGCCTGCTCCCACCCAGACCATGACGCCTGGACGGCTGTGTCCCCAGGGCCCAGCCCAAGTGTGGACACTCCATCACCTCGACATCTCCGGGTACTGAGTGCGGGCACTGAGCCAAAGCTTTCCCTGCGTGACCTCCTTTCATCCTCACAGGAATTCCCTGAGAGGTGAGGACCAATTTCCCCCTTCACAGGCGGGGGCGGGGGGGGGGGGGGGGGGCCTTAAGGGTTCCATGAATTTTTGGGGCCCCAAACTGGGGAAAGGGTGGGCAAAAAAAACCGGGGGGG